AAAAATCAATGATAGATGATTTTCGCCACGAGGCTCCGTTGGGCAAAAGCCACCAACAATAATTGTTTTTCAGTATCAAGTGCTGTGCAGAAAAGTCGCTTCGGAAACGTGAACGTTTGAACTTTTCGAAAGGCGACTGTGATTAACTCCGTGAAGCGGTAAATGCGGCGAATATTTCGGACTGTATTAGGAACATGATGTGGCTGATTCATGGTCATTTCTCAAAGACACGGTAATGTCAGCGATTGATGCCTGTGTACCTAAAATTACGCTTGGAAGAGTCAAAAAGTCCCAGTGGATGAACAGTACAGTTCAAGCTCAGCTAAAGACCAAGAAGGAAACATGCAAGCGTTATTTACGAACTCGAAGCGATTCTGATTATCACCTGTATGCAAGAGCTCGAAATCAAGCTCTATTAAAAAAAATATTGCTAAAAATGCAAAAAAAAATTCGAAAGCCATCTTTTTGCACGCTAGTTTGAAGTGTAAGACAAACGACGTTATATCTGGGTTGAAAGTAGACCAGCGAAAGATTTCCTCTGATGAGGGCGATTCTAACGTTCTTAATCAGTTCCTCAGCAGTGTGTTCACAGATGAGGACATGTACAGTATTCCAGATATTGAGGAGCGCCCAGTCGGCTCGAAGTTAATATGTTTTGCAATACACGAAGAAGAGGTTCTCAAGCGCCTGGTAGCTCTAAATCCCAACAACTCATGTGGACCACGGCTTCCATCCCAGATTGCTCAAAGAATTAGCAGCCGTTCTGGCCGGCCCATTGACAGTATTCTTTCAAAAAAAATCTTGAACGAAGGAACTTTGCCGTCCAATTGGAAAGAAACTCAAGTAACACCATTGTTCAAAAAGGGTGACAAAAGCAGCCCTGGTAACTATAACATAACATAACATAGTGATGTCGGCGCTGAAGTGTAGGCCTGATGTGGCCTGTCGCCGATTCTTTTCCTTTTCGTGCCTTGTTCACAGAAGATCTAATATCGTGTTATTTGCCCGGATCTTTTCATGACAGGCGATAGTTTGAAGTAGCTACTAGACTTCCACCGGGTTCGATAAGGAGCTAGGCATTTCAAATCTGAACATATATTTTTCCATAGCTTTATCTCTGTCTCTTATACACATCTAGATGTGTATAAGAGACAGGTTTTTCACTGCAGTGCGACAAACTTTTTTAGCTTGATTTCGAGCTCTGGCATACAGGTTATAATCAGACTCGCTGCGAGTTCGTAAATAACGCTTGTAGGCTTCTTTCATGGTCTTTAGCTGAGTCTTAACTGCACTGGTCATCCACTGGGATTTTTTACACTGGGATCATGAAGCTTCCAGTAGATAGACTATCGCACTGTCAGCCTGACAAGTGTTGTTTGTAAGCTAATGGAATCTGTTGTGAGGGATAGGATTATCGATCACTTGACTATTCACCATCTCCTATCATATTGTCAACATGGTAGTATTGCCATTAGATCCTGCACCACTAACTTGTTATCTACGTTGAACGATTGGACTCGCCTTCTGGACGAAAGGGAGCCAGTGAATGCATTGTACCTCGATTTTGCCAAAGCATTTGACAGTGTTCCGTATGTGCGGCTGTTATACGTAAAGTGAAGTCTTTGGGAATTGAGTGAAACGTACTACAATGGATCAGAGACTTTCTAGTAGATAGACGACAACGTGTCAGCATTAACGGAACCGTGTCAGACTGGGCAGTGCGCAGGCGTGCCACAAGTTAGCGTTCTTGGGCCTATCCTGTTCGTTGCTTTTATAAATGTCAGCCAGAAACTGTGTCCAGCGTGTGCTCCATGTATGCCGACGAGACAAAAGTTTATAATACAGTGAAGGATGCGTCAAATAAAATGCAATTGCAAGATGATCTTGACAGTTTAGTTAAATGGGCTGATACGTGGCAGCTGCGGTTTAACGCTGACAAGTGTAAAGTACTTCACCTCGGGGAGAACAATGAACAGCAAGAATACAGTAGTAGAAGACATGTTAAAACGAGAGAGTAATGATTGAAAAGTCTAGCGTGAAAAAATATCTCGGAGTTTATTTCGACAAGGAGCTGAAATTTTCTCAGCATGTTGAAACAAAAGCTAATACATCCAACAAACTTCTTGGTCTAATCAGAACCTCTTACGAGTTCCTAAATGCAGAAGCGATGAAGCAGTTGTTTGTAGCTGTCGAATCTATAGTTTGGAAACGTTGTGTGGTCACCGAGATTTGAAAAGGACAAAAATTTAGTAGAGAATTTTCAAAGACGTTCGACAAGGATAATTCCAGGCTTGAAGGGCAATTCCTATGAAGAAAGATTAAAGATCATGAAGCTTCCAAGCCTCAGTCATCGACGTCTGCGTTGGGACCTCATTGAAGTATACATGTATCCTCATTGTTTATACCAGGTCCCCGAAGGATTACTAGAATTTGAAACAAGAACCAACACCAGGGGCCACGGCTATAAACTAAAAAAACTGCGCTGCAACTTTTCCACGCGACAACATTTCTTCTCGCTTCGAATCACCGACATGTGGAGCAGCCTCCCTGATTACATCGTTGGCGCTCCGAGTATGAACGCGTTCAAGAACAGACTAGTTAAAGCTATGTAAAATTATATGTTCAGACTTGAAATGCCTAGCACCATATCGAACCCGGTGGAAGTCTAGAAGCTATTGCAAACTATCGTCAATTTTGAAAGGATCCGGTCAAATGACACGATTTTAGATTTTGGTGCCGACATCACTATGTTATGTTATATGTTATGTAGTCTGTTCTTGAATGCGGTCAAAATCGGAGCGCCAACGATGTAAGCGGGGAGGCTGTTCCACATGTCGGTGATTCGATGCGAGAAGAAATGTTGTCGCATGGATAAGTTGCAGCGCAATTTTTCTAGTTGATAGCCGCGGTCCCTGTTCTGTAATTTAAATAATCTCCTGAAGAAAAAAGTGAATTGTGAAAAGTGAACGGAGATAGGCACGTAATTCAAACAATATATATTTTCAACTAGTTAAACTAATTATTCGCTTCCTAGCATTTTCAGTCATCCGCGCTGCTTTTCTCGAACAAAATTACGTAATCTTGGTTTTGATATTCAAATTTTAGTATCCCAATCACATGCTCCTCGTGGGTCTTTTAGTTTGACCATCTTGAGGACTCTAACTTGAATGAAAGCACAGGCAAAGGAAACATGAGATTTTAACATGCGTGTTATATTGGCCTAATTTCAATCATACTCGATACCCTCTAGCATGGTTGAACTATATAAGGTTGACCCACGGAAGTTCCGTCTTTCAGTTCAGCTTTCTTGTTACGTCACTGAGATCGATAAACGTAAACAATCCCGTAATTCCCATGACGGATTGGTTGACTGGTTTGATCGCATTTCGGTGATTGGTAAATGCCCGTGACGTCACTGAGATCAGTGACGACACAGGCGAACAACAAGCTCCATCCGCAAAAATGGGCTTCTGATGGGTCCATGGTTGAACCATGGATGGGTCAACCTTATACTACTTCAACCATGCCCACTAGTGTCTTCCCTCCAGTATCTTACCACCGAATTCCCCTTGCAATACCGAAGCTGGTTAGTCAGCATATATTAAGTATTTTTAGAAAATCAGATCAATCTATTTCTATATTCTATAGAATATAGCATTCAACGCAGCTCTGCGATTCGTCTTGATTGATCAGCTCGGTGATTGATATTTTTAATTTCAAATTTCACTTCATCAGGAATCTTTATAATTTAATCAGAAATTGTACAACTACGTCGGGTTTCCGAATGGACTAAACGCACACAGCTGCATCACATTGTTTGTGAGCCAATTGCAGTCATGAATTCTTTAATTGAGACGATTTGAGTAATTTTTCGCTGATACCAAACATCATGGTATGCCACTCAAGTATTCATGTACTACATTCATACACATTTAGAATAAATGCAATAAGCAAAACTATGCCAAACTTCTAAACAAAAATAACTTCAGATTACAGTATAAAATATTTGGCTTCATTTCCTAACGATGGAATCTTCGACTGCACAGAACGTTCCAATGATTTCAGATACTTTAAATTAATAAACTGTTGGGACACGTTTTTAAATTAAAGTAAGAATTTATTGACTTGAGTTTATGATTGTAAGTATTAAACTCAGGTACGTTTTGAAGGTAATTGGAACAAGTTTTTTTTTCAGGGTGGACGTGATGGTCAACTTAATTAACAAGTACTTTGGCCTAACCTAATCTTTTCGAGGACAGAATCCTATATGCTGACAACTGTTGGAGGAACTGCGGTGTGAAGCCTGAGGGTGTTAGGCTTCTTTTTGTGAGGCGTTATTATCCCCAACAAAGTTCAAGTTTTCAGTGAAGATTAGCGCATGCGAGTAGAAACAGCCCAAAGGACATGAACCAAGTGACAAACACATGACTGAAGTACGGTTCCTTCGTATGCGTGAATCTTTTCAGTTTAATGTTGATGTTTTCTTTTCTGAGGGCAGTAGCCTTGACATTTTACCGATTATTTTGGGAGTGAATACAAATTCTGTATATTTAGCCTGATGCATCAATCATAATACGAGGCGGCAATAATAGTCATAAATAAACCTTTAAATTAATCGTCATACCTCTAAAGATTTATGATACATAATATGACGGTCATTTTTGCAAATATATTTAGAACATGAGGGTGGTACATAGAAATACTTAACTTACGGTGGCATAATGTCAGCCAGTTTAGCCACGAGACAGGTGAGAAATTCAGCAACAAGTTAATCGATCTTGCTGTACGACTACTAGCAAAATTCTTCATTCCTCAAAAGAAGTGTTTTTTCTTTACGTTTAGTCACCGAAAGAAATGAGAATATTACGCTATTAAATTCGTAGCCGCTATACAACGTATTAGAAGTGAAATAGCAATAGGATGCTATTCCAATATTGGAGGCTGTTCTCAGGAATTCAAATACTTGCATTAGGCCTTAAATTGGTAGACAATCAAACGCATTAGATTCCAACATTTATTGTATTTACATGGTCACGTCAGAGCTGCACCTTTCTGAGACACTATTGAAGCATTAATTGAGAGCATAAATCAAGTCCAAATGCTGGTACTGGACTAGTCTTTCTCACTAGGATTGAATTGATTAGCACAAGTTCACAAATTGGGAAGTTATTCAAGTTTTGCCGAGATCGAAAAACGAGTTTAAACGCTGTCAAGTTTAAAGCCTCGACTAGCTGTAAGATCGCAGATGACGTAATTCTTATCAAATTTGGTCGTTTCCTTTCATTTCGGTAATCAACCAAACGCCCAACTAAATTCGGCGAATACCTAATCTACCCTAATCGCATATTGACTATTACGAATTATTGTTCTTCGCTAAATTAGGAACGAATAGTCGAACTTTATATTCATTCGTACGTTACGCAGTTTTCTATAACATTCAATATTACGACTTGCAATGGTCAAGTAAGCAGCGGCAAGACAAGTTTCCGTGTACACAGATCTGCGTAAGATTTAATAAAACTTTAAATAATAAAAAACTGAACTGCGAAATTCTAAGCAATAGTCGATGAATGAATATAACTTTTTATTCCAGTGCCCGAAAAAGGACGATGCTTTCAGGGGGGACTAAGGTCCCCCTAAAATGGTTAAATTTAGCATTCTTCAATACACTTGCATGGCCTGAATATTTGAATATATTAGAAACACTGAATGAAAAGAAAAATATCTCATCACGAGATTAATGATCGTTGAAAAATATGACGCTGAAAGCGAGAAAGTCAAGCACGATTAGTTAGGTAGCATTGACAGTCCATGTCAAGATGGAGGTAGCTAGAAAGTTCTTCATTACAAACATATGTATAAAATTAACCTAAAAAATGCTCGTTTCCTTATCACAGGTCACTTGACGCCTGCGTTTAGTCATTCATAACCCTTCCGTCTATCACAATCAACTTGCAAAATTGTCGATTAATCCCTTGTTCATGTGCCCAAGTTATCGGAGCAGTTATGTAACTACAGGATACTTCCCAAGCAAACGACGATAAATTGCCGGCACTGGGTAAAGATGCAGGCAGGTTCACTAAGGTGGAGCGCCTTCGTGCCACACATAGCTCGACCAAATTCACAATAAGTACCAAAAACTAAAAGACATTTGCCGAAAAACACCGACCGACGTGCAGATCTAGAGGAATGTTAGGTTGCGTCAGTTCTTTTCGCCAATTTAATATTTAAAATGAATTGACCTTGAGATGGTCCAGTGCGCTCGTTCAAAATGCGTCTTAGTCGAACATCTATTCACTGTAATAGTGCGACACGAAAGACAACTATCGAGATATCCGAGTACATAGTTATAGATAACACCTACATCAAGAACAATGGTGATACAGCGAACTAGACTGCACAAAATTGCTATTAGATCATGAGACTCGAAATTGGTCAATTTTATATGATAGTACATGGAACAATTGATACAGCCAAGCTAATTCGATCCTTACTTTGGTCAAGCAACTGCCATCGAAGCTTCTACTGCAAAGAGTGCACTTTTCGTCGATTTATTCATCAAACATTCAAGTTTGGGCTGAGGATTTGGATTCATTTACTCATACTGAAAATCTAATACATCATTCTCTCCTCATCATACATAACATCACTCAACAAAACTCAAAGGCTCAGACTTAATCCGTAGAGCTAGAATGCCATCTCATTAACATAACCTAATATGACTTAGATGACTAGAGGAGCTAACCAAAATTCATGCCTGCGTCAACAAACATTAGCAGGGCTTAGTTTTAGGGGTGAAGAAGAAAACTGATACAGGTAGGCAGATATTACAATGGCTGCATTTTTTTTCAACGAAACCGCCCAGGTTATTCAGTCCATTGAGCAACTGGGTGAAAATGATTTAAAATAGTACTGTAGAATTCCACCCTGACCCTCGTACCGTCTGTCCAATGAATTGACTACGAATTGATATCAAACTAATATATAAATAAAAATGACACAGCACATATAAATGCTCTAGGCAATGGTCCTGTCAGCTAACAGAACGCAAGAATTCAAGATTTTGATTCATTTCAGTAGCTTAAACCGAAATTAGGGAGGAAATTACTACATTTTAACGCAACTAGGTAAAATTGACCTCATTCACCGAACACTGGATTCAAGGGAGCCTTACTGTTGAAAATTTAATTAGAGTTTCGGGCCCTGCAAAAAAGCAGCCTTAGATTTCCAGTCCAATCGTGGCACTAACACAAAATTCTATACCAATAATTTTATAAACAACACAAGAATCATTGTCTATTCAGTAAGCAGATTTGTTCTAATAACTTACGGACAAGGAAATGACTAACATCACTCGCGTAAATTTATAGAGGTTCATTCATTAACAATAAAACTTCAAAACATTCACAGTAAATAAATTATCTAAAGATCACAGCATCACCGTTCAACCCCTTTGTTGTGGACGCAATCTTTATCCGATCCTGCAGTTTTATCAGTGAAGGTTTCAGGAGCTAATAAAGCTTCACCCATTTTGATTTTTTGACCAGGAAGTACACTCATCACAGAATTCTTTGGAGCTTCAAAAAGCAAGACTATAGTCGAACCAAGATTGAATTCTCCAAAAGGCGCCCCTTTGCTGAATGTGAAATTATGACCGGGACCTTCAAACGTTTTGTCACTGAATGTACATGAGGGCCGGCATCGTTCATTGGTTCGCAGGTCTTCGTCGAAGTAAGTTTTGACGGAGCCGACGTTTGTAGCGCCGACGGCTGTCATTGAGAAGAAGCCGTACTTCCAAGTGCCGATGTAGGCGACGCGCTCGTTCAGAACAAACAAGTTTGGAATCCAAGCCGCAAAGCTTGGATTGACGCTCAGAAGTTCGCCAGGAAAATGACGACGGTGAATTACCTTCCAGTCGGCAGGGGAATGAAACCTAGAGATAAAAGCTAACATTAATATTCAATCAACCAAAAATCGTTGCATTATCTTCTAGAACGCCATCAGTACGGTAACTCTATTCCGAGGTACTGCAAAGGTGACAAGCACGAGCAATGTAAAATGAACACATTTAATCACCCAAATAATTCAACAAAAACCTAAAAGATTACATAAACGAGAGGTCGTTGAGTGATTCAACAAATATCGCCAAGGTATCAGCTTGCACTAGAAATTGTCTGCGTTAAAAAGTGTAAAAGAATCAATTATTAATTTCTGGATCGCAGACTTATAGAACCTCTTACCATAATTAACAGGAAATTCACGTGGAAAGTTTTCCGCAGGTGTGAAGGCTGTGTAATTATCTTGTAATTTCACGATATGGTTACAACCTACACACCTGTGATAGTCGCCTGGCGCAAGGTACAGAACCACCTGATGTAATTCGTTGGCGTCAGGGTCTGTGATACAAGAGTTGTGGTAGCAGGAGTCGTCAGCTGTAGCCCCGTCGTCAGGGCTAACCCCAGACCATATGTTGGGGCCCAAGAACGACCCCAGGGAATATGTCACGCCCTGTATTTAAGAGCAATTATTACTCACATACTCGGTAACAACAAATGTGGTCAAATAAACTTTATTGAAAGAAACAAACTATTCAAAATAATGAGAAATGAAATTGCCGTATAAACATCAAGATATACCATGCAACTATCTTTCAGCCCAAATGGTTGAATAATCATTCGAGACTTCGAGAGAAAGACTTCCCTGTATGTGTCAAAGTTCCATAAAACGTTTCTGAGTGTATTAAGTTCCAATTAAAGGCAGAAGATGCTTTGAGAAAAAGTATGAGGAAAGACAGGGTTGACAGATGGCGTAAAAACGGCCAAATCCGCAGACAAAATAAGCCAAAAGTAATTTATTCCATATTACTAGTAAATTTGTAGCTTGCGGTGAAAAAATTAATTTTTTACTTGGTAGAATGCAATAAGAAATTACGGCCATCACAAATTTTTGCTAGCCTACGCACTTGAAAATAACCAAGTTATGAAATTTCGCCAAAGCAGAGGGAGCAGCATTCAGGTACCTTGATCTGGTGGAGCGTTCCACAGGAGACCCGTCCAGCCTGCAGGATGGTGCCGTCAACAGGGCTGGTGAGCGCAGACGCGGCGTTCACGGGACGTGACGAAGGCTTAAGCGACCGTCGGAACAGCGATGACAGCGAGCTGAAAAAATCAATGCAAACGAGTTATAGGTTACCGAGCGCTAAAAAATTGTTCCCAATCAAGAATAAACTTCAAGTTTTCTCCGAGGGAAAAGGTAATACATTTCATGTTCGATAGCATGATGCGGAGAAGATGTTAGTGAATTGACGGAATTATTCGACTGTTTAGTAGTAGTAGTAGAATTGTTTGCTAGCGCTTCAGCTATTAAGCTAGTTCGCGCCGAAAGTCAAAATGTAACATCGGAAGGTCTCAATTATTCAAAGTCTCAAATTATTCATCACCCACAAGGAGCGGAAGGTCTCAGTTGTCCAGCCCGATGAAACTGGCTCGGGAGAAGCAATTTTTGCATCTTAAAGAGACGAAGTGACAAGGAGGGACAGGTGAAAAGCAACAGAACCTAAGACACTCGAACAAGAGGTCGCTTACAAGGAACGTCGGCCGCCCGCACGAGAGAGACAGAGAAGGGAAGTGTAAGGAATCCTTCCTACATAATAACTTAACCCCACAACTGAGACCAACGGTCAGACACCGCGAGCTCAGCGGTGGGGCGCTCAGGAACAATCCCCCTATGAGCGCAAAATCTCATAGGACTTCTGACGAGCACAGGCCACCTCAGAAGTCCCCCTGAAGGGTTATTCGACTGTTTAATGGTAATTTAGTTTTGTTTTATACAATTTAGTTTTTGCTAAATAAATTTTCAAAGTTAATTCAAATTTTTCAGTGCCAGTTCTGTGCTAGCTATGGTTTTAGAAGCATCTTCGTCTTAAACTTTGATCAGTTTAAATATTATGGGGACTAGGGATAACAGGATTAAAAATTTTTGAATCTCATGGTTTATCTAAACAAGGCAACACTGGGATAAGCAGCTAGCAACAGAGATTGTTAATAAATCACATGGCGAACTGACTTGTACTGCAAGATGTCCTCGACCTCGGCTTCAGTCATGTCACAGCCAAATGTTCGAACATAGGAGCCCAGAACCGTTGAGCGACACCAGAGAGGTAATTCAATATCTGAAATGAATATCAAATATTAATTTTTTCACCGCCTATCAAATATTTGCGAATGTTTGTGTGAGACCAGGAAATGTTAGGATTCAGGCTATTGAAGCGTTTAATATTCATACCAATTGTATCTGGATAATTTTCTGGGGTTGAAATTGTTTGTAGCGGTAGAATCTCGAGGTATTATAAATCAGGGTGAAGAGGGTTAGGTTAACTTTAATTTTTTAACTTAGATAGAATTTCTTTTTGAAAAATGGATCACTAAACTTTCTTCTCAACATAAAAATAGGAGTTTGATGTAAATTATATGTATTTATATATATAATTATTTGTATAAATAATATAAATATATATATAATAAATAATTATATGTATTCGAAAGTTTCTCTAATGCATTATCTTGATTTAGAAATTATGGATGGGATTCACCTATTTCAGGAATCATCTATCCTGTAAATGTTGGGTTGAGCTGCCAGTAAGTAATAAAATGAAGACTAGTGTTAGGATGACAAATTTTAGGATTTATAAAAAAATTAAAACTGAAAGTTCAACTAATCTTTCAATGTTCTTAGTTCCACATGCTTTAAATGATAAAATGCATCAAGGCAACTCTAACTCTGCATTGAACTAAAAAAAATGCATCACCCTGTCTCATAAAAAAATTTGTTCAAAATTTCATGGATGAGATTCACACAATTTTCAGTGCTTGAAAGCTGAAAATACCAAAAGCCAGGCAATAAACTTTGGTTTTTGCTTCCTAAAATTTAGGAGCCCAGGTGAAGAACATCTGATCAAAAAACATCAGTACAGATTTTAAATTTCACGTTCACAGGTGAAGGAACACATGTATACACCGACAGAAAAATTGTGGTCAATTTGTTATAGAAAAGAAAACACCAACAAGGAAAGATGCATAATATAACTCAGCCTAGAATCAATATATAATAATAGAATAGATCGTGGACCACATTTTCAGCCAACATCTAGGCACTTGCCATTAATCCATCCCCAAAATCTGGAAAAGTGCCGCAAGGGAAGTAGCTTATAAACCTGCACTTCCCAAGGTCTTGCTATGCAAGCAGCCCCCTCGGCAGCCAGGCGTTGCTCCTGAAATTATTCAAGCATTATTGACAATATGCTACATTGATAATTCAAAGATTCCATTTTTATGCTGAAATTCCCAAAATACAGATGTTTTTTCCTGGAAAGCTTCAATATTTTTCAGAGATATTTTCTACCTCTTTTTTAACAAAAAATAAAAGAATGAGCTCATTATCTTAAGAAGGCTCATCAAATTTAGAATGTATGTATAAGTGATGATATCAAAAATTTCTATTTGGATAAGTTTGGAAGTTGCATCATCTGCATGCATCTTCATATTGTATACCATACATATATATATATATATATATGCATTGTTCAAAGCTGAGATTATCAGAGAATAATGTTGACAGGAAGGTCAATCATCAGCCATATATAGAATGTTCTAGAAACATGCAGTGACTATAAGTATAAGGATGTACCCACTTGAACAGAGTCAGAACTTCCCCAACCTATGTGACAATTTGAGAGACCAAAATTCTATCTAAGGAATTAAAATTCTATATTCAATTCCATTAAACATTTTTTAATTGCCTAAATGATTGTAATATTTGAGACAATTTTGGAGATTTTGCATTAATCTGTAAAAAAATTGTAATAAAATCAGATAAAGAATACAAATTCCTCAATTCAGGTTCAGTAGCTGGGGACAAGTCTTACTTCTCTCTTCCGTGTGTGTCTGTACTGAGTGGCAGCAATGACAGCAAAACCCACACCAAGCGGCAAAGGGGTCCACTTGAGAGACCTCAAGTAGCGGGTAAAACTGGCCATTGCCTCCCCGCCAATGCCTGAAAAGGGGTTTAAGATGAATTTAAGTCATTTCAATTAAAGAACCCTAATTCATGATTTTCTGAAGAGCCAAATTCTTTGGTGAAATATTGTAGTGCAATTGTGCAGCTTTATTCCTAGTTAGTGAGAATATAATTTGTCTACCACTAATGATGAGCAAGTTGCAATATTTTCATGCAGGCCAGAATTAGTAATTTAGTAAGAAGTTTTGTTTAAATTCTCAAACTTATGCTAAATTGTGGCCTAAAGCATAATTAAACTAATGAAAGACCAACAACTTCCAAGCCAAGAAATTTGTCACATCTGATGCATTGCTATTAAAAGTACCATTAAAATCAATGCAATACCACAAATGACATAACTTAGTAGTTGCTGCTCAGCAGACATGAAAAAATCTACTTTCCTAGCCATAACCCAATATGGAATATTGGGCAAAATTTTCCAAAAATCCCAGGTGAAAATGATCACTTCACAGATTACTTTGATAATTACTGAAAAAAAGGCAAGGGCCATAGAAATGGGTGATTATCTATGTTTTTGTCTCATTCATAAGTAGCATCATGATAAATAGTCAAGCAAATTCACTATTAAAAAAAGATTGTAAAAACACATGAAACAAAATTTACAATTAATTACAGAAAGGAATATTTTAGTGACAACCATCATATTTTTTGGAGGAATAAATCATAGTTCTAGTTAATTACTTTTTATTCTATGTTGCCCTGTGCACAATTCTATCTATGACATTCTATGCACAATTTGTGATGATGCATTATTTTTATGCCAAGAAATTTTTTTTGCTGAGCAAGGTAAATGTAATCAAAATTCTTTGTTATTAATCAATTTTCTTGTTATCTGGAGCCTTTGCAAACCAAGGTTCTACTGTAAATGTGTATTTAGGGGTGTCCCATATTACCCTGTGCGGCCTGCTGGGGTGTCCCTTGTTACCCAATCGTGCGGATATGGCTGCCATTTTGTTTTGGATTGAGGTACAAAAGTTCCATCAATGAAGTTTTAAAGCCAATACCTGTCTTCAATTTTTTTGTCAAGCAAAAATTTTTAATTTGGCAAATATTTCTTAACTACAGACCTTAGCAGGAGTATTTTTTCAAAATATCACTTTTCAACATTTTTCCTTCAGGGACTTTTCAGAGCTAGTAAATATATGATTTCTTAACTTTCCTTCATGCTATATAGGTAGAAAAATGTTTAAGTTTATGCCACTATTGTTAGTTTTGCAATATTTAAATTAGTTTTGCTGCTATAATATTTTTATGCTGTCGCGGAGGACTGTCCCAATTTACCCCATCTGTCTCTTATTACCCCATTTGATAGTACATTATTAGGCTATAAGATTTCATATACATTGAAAATTTGTTGCTTTGGAACTGCAAGATTTCAGTAACAACTAAAAAGTAGAAAAGTTTTACTCCTGTGCCCAATTGAGACTAATGATTCAAAATTTACATAAAATACATAACTTAGAGCTAAGAAATTAATACAAAATATAGGATAATATTAATCTTGCAGACAAGCATGATGCAGCTCACATGCTCATCAGTCAGCCACAGCACTCAGCAGGGTAATGAGAGTGAGGGACTGGGAGTAAGATATTTTCATTTGCCTTGCCATTCATCAAAAAGGCCTAGCACGCTGCACGCCTAATACGATTATGGTCCATAGGGGCAAAGCATCAAGTTTTTCAAACTCTTCAGTCTTCATAACTTCAATTTAGGCTGTTTAGTTGAAACTTTAGTAGTTTAGTTAGTCTGTTTACAGTTTCATACAGTAAAAAAAAGAAAAACATCCAATTTTTGCCTACTTTTTTAAAAAAAAATTACCCATGAAATTATTATTTGTACCCACAATTTTAGAAAACTTTGGTCCAATATTACATATTGGGCCTAATGCAGGTCAAATATTCAGATCATCACTGTACATCACTAGGTACATGCCTACCTATATCAGGATAGTAACATTAAATCAAGTTCAGCACAATTGCACAATAAATTACAATACTATGAGAAGTTTTCAGAAATTTTACCCTGTTTAGGTTAAATTCTGTTCTTTAATTGGTTCGTTTTAATTTAATGCTGCAATATTAATATTGTGTTGTGGCGACTGGCGGATGCTGGCCCAGCAAAATCGTTCAACTTCACGGTTCAAGTAGATTACCCAGCATTGCTGATGCGGTGATGCTGGGTGTCTACTTGAACATGAACGATTTTGCCGGTCATTTGATATCATTATCATACGAAAGTAAGATTAAAATACAAATAATCGTATTAATTAAAATTTCAGAGACAGCTTTAAAATAAAAAATCTCCAGGACTCAAACAATATCAAGTGTTTATCATGCTCACTTTATCACGAGATCCTCGTCAGTTGTCACACGTAAAAACAAGAGGCACAACTTACACGGATTGTACGATTTATATTGACTGGCATGACTGCCACTTTATGCAAACAATTTCACATCATTTATTTACTACTTGGCAACTTTGACGGTATTAAAAACGACGGAAGATTATCGCATTTCACTCCTGTAGCTAAATCCATTCTTCAGATGGCAAACTTTGAATTATAAGTAATGCAATTCTTGTAATTGAATTTAGTTTATTTTAATTGCTTAGAATCATTGACCACCGAGTAATCGGAAACAATTGGAATAAACCTAATTTTTCTAAAAACGATTAGCTAAAAGAAAGTTATTTAAGCACCAATGTAACAATTATATATGAAATATTATATACGAATCGTTAATGTGGTAAAAATGCCAGAAATCACCAGCAAACGTAGAGATTCGCAGGATGGTATGGCTGGAAGGTCATTTATCATTAGCAACAATTCTCACTATCAGAAGGTGAGAATAGCATGCTCTCTGTCAAACTACTGTTTTACGTTATTACTACGTAGATAAAGCAAAAGCTCTTAACAATCACGTCGCCTTATTATATGGGCCAAAAATGTTGACAGACCGAATCGACACTTCAGCGAACTCGCCTGCGAGCTCGAAACTCGGGCACTCATAAATCCTTCAATAATGAACGGATTTTATTCAAATTTGAAATATAAGTAGGTAATATCAGTAATTTGCGGACGGAATTTTTTCTGATTTTTACATCAATAACTTTTTAGTTAATACGGAAAGCCTAACTTCATTTTCAACTCTGGCACTCATAAATCCGTCAATAATGAACGGATTTTTTTCAAGTTTGAAATATAAGTATGTAATATCAGTAATTTGCGGACGGAATTTTTTCTGATTTTTACATCAATAACTTTTTTGTTAATACGGAAAACCTAACTTCATTTTCAACTCTGGCACTCATAAATCCGTCAATTATGAACGGATTTTATTCAAATTTGAAATATAAGTAGATAATATCAGTAATTTGCGGACGGAATTTTTTCACATTTTTACATCATTAATTTTTTTGTTAATACGGAAATCCTAATTTCATTTTCAACTCTGGCACTCATAAATCCGTCAATAATGAATGGATTTTACTCAAATTTGAAATATAAGTAGATAATATCAGTAATTTGCGGACGGAATTTTTTCAAATTTTTACATCAATAACTTTTTTCTTAATACGGAAAACCTAACTTAATTTTCAACTCTGGCACTCATAAATCCTTTAATAATGAACGGATTTCATTCAAATTTGAAATATAAGTAGATAATATCAGTAATTTGCGGACGGAATTTTTTCAAATTTTTACATTCATTACTTTTTTATTATCACGGAAAACCTATATATTTCAAATTTGAATAAAATCCGTTAATTATTGACGGATTTATGAGTGCCAGAGTTGAAAATGAAGTTAGGTTTTCCGTATTAACAAAAAAGTTATTGATGTAAAATTCAGAAAAAATTCCGTCCGCAAATTACTGATATTATCTACTTATATTTCAAATTTGAATTAAATCCGTTCATTATTGAAGGATTTATGAGTGCCAGAGTTTAAAATGAAGTTAGGTTTTGCATTCGAGTTCGCAGGCCAGTTCGCACGCGAGTTCGCAGGCCAGTTCGCACGCGAGTTCGCTGAAGTGTCGGACCGGTCAACCATTTATTCGATGCTTTGAAACTTCTCGTAAAAATAACAAACAAATATTAAAGGATTAACGCAGGAGTTATCGTACACGTATTGGGAGCAAATCGATAACAATGAATGTTTAACGATAGACTGGTTGGTATTTATAATTTATAAACGAGTGCCAATTGAAGTCCTACCAATAATGATCCCGTGATAATTGAGAACGCAATAGTGCCTAACCTTAGGAGCATTACCAAGTGTACTACTACTTAAAAACTTTAAAAATTGAAAAAACTTGTAAAATTCAACATTAGAGTTTTTATGTTTTGCTTTTGTATTTGAACCAGTCTTTAAGGAGTACGACAATTCCATAGTAGGGTTGGCAGTAAAGAGGCCTTGTCACCCGTCAAACCGGTGCTGAGGCTGCTCTGCTTAATGCCCACTCAAAGAAATGAACAAGACCTTGTCCAAATAGTGAGGTATTTTTCGCTTGCGTTGGTCTACCTGACCCATTTTGGCGGGGAAGCGAGTCGTGAAAAGTGGCACTATTTGAACAATAGTACCAATCTTTCTTACCTGTGTGTAAGAAAAGTGCACACTGTACACCCGCCAGCCGGCAAGCCCTGAACAAGCTTATGCTGCTGCATTGACTGAGGAAGGCCGCATGCAGTTGCCTGGTCACGGGCATTGCACTTCAGTGCAGACGCTCCAACGCATCAAATGACTTGCTACTCAAGTGGGAAGGACAACAGAAATATGCCGGTCCGTTGCGACAGTTAACACTTGAATATATAAAGAGCATGAATTTAAAGGCTCAATTGAATATAATGGGCGTGAATGTACAGCAATATATTCAGCCGCGAGCACACCACAGCAGGCGCTCAAGGTCGCGCTGTATTCTGACAGTAAAAGCGTTTAATAATCTACCAGAAACAGAAATTATACCTTCACGTCAGTAACAAAATAAAATCTTTACTCGACAATAGCGGGCAGCAATAAGAGTAGCTAACCATTTGACTGTATCATTAGGTTCTACAATACTTCTTTCATTCTTTCCGTGCAAATTATTACGTTGCCTACTTTCATAGCAGTTAATTATAGGTGCCCAGAGGTCTGGCAAAAGGATCAAACTCGTGGTTACGTTTGACTTTTTTAAAAATATCATGTAGTACGCTATGTATTCTATGAATAACTTGCTGGGGCGTCGCAAGCTAATAAATATAAACTTCAGATATAAACTTCTTTCTAATTCTGTATCCATTAACAAGTATATATACCAGTCTCTAATTTATATACGAGGCTAGTATTTAAAGGTTTATATTCACCAGTCTCGTACCATTCCACACCGTTTTAATTATTAATTCAGAACAGTGCACGGAAGTTATATGAGCTCCACAGTAACCGATAACCTGCGTCATTCATCAATTCCATGTCTGCCTGAAATAAAATAGTTACCGGATGTTCATGGATCAAAATGATTTGAAGGCGGCCACATGTCGAAAAGATTTTGTACGACATTGTTGTTAAAAACTTTATCCTTCATCAAGACTTTTACTGTCAACAAAATGCGGAACAACTCGACTAAGTGTCGAATGAATGGTAGTCAAGGAGCATCGATCACACTCTGAATAAAGCACACGAGGCTCAAAGTTCTCAATGAGAGACTATAGAGAGTGGGCTGTGGCCTAAGCAGTTAGGGTACGTGGCAGAGAATCGATAGTCCTGCCCGACGTATACAGTCGCGGCAAGCTGTGGGGTGGCGAGTCCAAGCTATACTAGGTGAGTCACAGCTTCAGTGAGTCACGGGTGCAGAATAAATGGAGTCAGGATGAAGGATGAGTGCTGAACAACTTTTCAACAACGGGGAAGGGAGGAGTGATTTATTAAAGAAAGGTGATAGGTATATAGATTGAATTGAAAAATCTTGAAGAAAATTGCTTAGATGCATGTATTTTGGGTAAATTTATAATTTAGTTCATATTACTATGGTCTTACTGGTGGCATTCACAGCAGGGACGATAGAACACCTGCCACGCACCTGTACTGTGTGAACCACTTGTTCCTTGTCACTAATCAAGCGCAGGAGTGCAGCCTTAATTTCACAAAATAATTAAATAATTTATTGAACTTTCTTCCCGTTCAAATATGCGAACGTGTAAACTCCACCTCAGTTGCATGGGCACGTCTTCAGCTGCTCACGGCTTACGTGAAATTGACTTGTACCGGTACCTCCCGCTACAGTGCTACTATCATAAGAGAATAATTTACAACTTAATTCCAAGCCGTAATTTAATCTATATGATTCATAAATAACGGCTAATAGCTGCGACAAGTTCGAAAATTTTGCGATTTGTGTTTTCCTTTTTTTCTACAATTAATATTTTACGATTTGTGTTTTTCTTTTCTTCTACATAGGGGCATTTAAATGTATCATACCACAACCACTTATCATTCGCTTGCCTATTAGAAACACTGATAGGCATATTTATTTATTCATATTGACTAGCATATTTTAACGCAATGCAACTAGATTCATCAATTCATGAAAACGTTTATATCAAAGAAATGCACAGTAGTGTTTAACTTGATACCTTCCATATGCCATACTGATTGCAAGACCCTAAAGTTTGAGTTACCACACCGTAAATGATATCATAATGCCCTCGATCAATTCATAGTCACGATAAAAAATAACATTACTATGAAGAAGGCACATAATGGCATGGGGAGTCAATCGCGACGGACTTGATTAATTTTTTTATTTATAGGCTACTATAGTGTCCGAGTATTTTAACTCAAGTGTGTGTCAATATTGTAAACTAAAAATGCCATAGGCATATGTTTTTTCAACACTTCTGTGTCTGAAATTTCCACAAGCGCCAGTCTAGAGACATACGTTCACCTAAGACTGCATAAACATAATAATAATCATTACAGAAATGATACTTCCATAAACAAATATAACTCACCAGATATTAGGAGTAGACAACTGATGCTGAACAGGAAGAACTGTAGTCTCTTGACACCCTTCACAATGACTGGCCGCTCCTGCGCAGCGTATACGGCGGCGGCCGCGAGGGTGGCAGCGGGGGACCTAACTACGGCGGGCACAACGTAGGGCTGCACTTCCAGAAATGACTTGGTTAGGTCAGCGTTGAGGTAGTGCGGTTGCATGCTTAGTGCCAAACTTTTTAAGGCGTTGTAGAAATACAGTAGAAGTTTGTTGTTGTAATTGAGTTTTGATAATATTAGGACAGTTGCTGGGGTTAAGAGATAAGTTGATAGTCGGAAATTGGACTTGAATGGAATAAGAAAGCTAAGAGGTCCTCCAAGCACGAGCGATTTCGGAAGGCAAGTTTACGATTTATTTTGGGTTCCTTGGGTTTAGTGAAGCCAAAATCTTTGATGGATAAGCAAGACGTAGCAATCGAACCCCGCTTCGTTTCTTTCCGTTGAGTAAACTTTAAAGATAACACCGAAGACTGAAAAGTTTGGTCCAACGAAATGGCCCAAGCAACACAAATTCACTGAAACCAGGTATATAAGTCTTACAAAAAATATAAAAAAATTTATCACTTTAATTTCAATTAAGTTCAAAAGCATGAAATCGTCAAGGTTTCGGAGCTTTCCACGATTTTAACTTGGAAATAATTTCATCTGAAAAAAAAAAATAAATGTTTTAATAGACACAAGTAAATGTGTCTGGAATCAGAAGGACATGAAATGCCCTAATCTGACACATGCAAAGCAACTAAAAGATATTTACTGCATAATATTTTGTAATTATTCAAGTAAAGTAGAGATCCTCGTCAAAAATTGTCTAATCAACGTAAAAGTTTTGGAATTAGCAGGTATACAGCTAATTAGCACTCGGAATGTGTCACATCGAGAAACTTCAGTAGCGCGAAAATTCCTGATTGTGTTCAAGTTCTCATTCGGCCGCAATCTTTTCTTACACCGCCGATCAGTACGTATTAAAAATATTAAAATCAGAATTAAAAATACATATAGTCAATTTATTTAAGAATAGTATTATTTTCTCTAACTTTTGAGCTAAAATGGGAAATAATTTCACTTGGTAGTCAGTCTATAAATCCTAGTTACAGCTCGAAATTACTTGAAGCATTTGTACCTCCAAATACGTAGAAGAGAAGGTCGTCGCACTGTATGCCATGGAGTCATGATACTAACCTAAATAAATGTACGCGCGATAGGAGAATGGCCAGAATTGATAATAATCGCAATTATACTTTTAATTTCAAGCTCTAACAAAACACACACTAACATTCCATACAAAAAAAAAAAATGAACTGAGGACGTTCTATTAGGTAAGGGTTACATTTGTTATTGGAAATTTTCGGCAAGAGGAAACTATATTTTCTTAACATAACATAACATAACCTTTACATGTACGCCTTTAGTATTGAACCGTCGTAAATAAGAAAACGTCTATGACAAGAATGCAATGCAAATATATGAATCCCAAAAATTTACTGAAATTAAAATCAAACGAGTTTACTTGAAGGCTCAACTTCATAGATTAACGTATTTAGTTGCAAGTCTTTAATACACTTAATTACCAAATACTGGCCAAAATGCGGCATACTTGTAGTCACAAGAAGTAAAATGATCATATAGAATTATTTTACATCGTAGTAAAATGATCATATAAAATTATAACAATCACTTAAAATAGAACTTCAAACATTATTAATAACCTTTAGCTATTGAATACGACTACATACTTCGAATAAATATCGTGCACAATCGAGTCATCGATTGAATCCAGAAATAAATCAAACCCACATACACCGACCGATATATCTAAAAACTGAAATTTAGTAGGGATATTCATAGATCTAGAGGCGGGAAGTATCGCCCTGATAGCCGGTCATGCGACTATGGACTGAGCGAGATCACGCCACCGCTTATATAGGCTAGGCAGCTCTCGAAGCTACGAATGAACTATAGACTATCCCCGATTGATAGGAAAACTCGCGAGCGCTGATTATTAAGCTCCTCAAAAGGCCAAGTCATTCTTCGGATACTGATATTCATCATATACATAATAATGAGGCCTGATGATGTTAATACAAATAATTGAAACTTCATAAAAGACTTTTGGCAGTCTACTGCAAATCTAGATAACGGATAGTTGAATTTGCGCACTAAACAATACATTTGGGTAATTTTCAGATATGAAGGCATTTCGCGTAGAACATTGGCATATAATGCAAGATATTTCAATCACTTCAGCAAAAGGTACTACATTCTGAAAAAAAAAACGCATGTGCCGCCTAATGTTCGATTTTTCACACTACGCAGACCCAACCGTACTGCAGCACCACGTACCTGGCAGTACTGCAGTACCACGTACCTGGCAGTACTGCAGCACCACGTACCTGGCAGTACTGCAGCACCACGTACCTCAGTACTGCAGTACCACGTACCTGGCAGTACTGCAGTACCAAGTACCTGGCAGTACTGCAGTACCACGTACCTGACAGTATCGCGTGGTTCACATATTTCACAGTATCCTGAAGGTCACACATCACACACACTATACACCACAAAGCAGTGCAGAGACCTCATCCTGTATACAAGGGAAGCCCTGCAGACTCGAGCGCTGTGTGTATATGATAATCTGACTGCCCTAAGTGAGTCACGTGACACAACCGCCCAACCCACACACCTTGTGTTTAGGAAAAAAATAGTTACCGATACCCCTGCCCGATTTCTGACTCAAATATTTTTTTCATTTGGGTTCTCGATAAAATCCGCAATTTTTCATCGACATTTGGGTTCATTTTCGATTTTTAGGGTGATCTCCACAGCTGTAAAGTAACTTTTTGAACAATATAAGTGCCAGGTTACTGAGTTTTATATAAATAAATCACTAACGGGGTGAGCGATAAATATTTCCAGTGAGTCTGGGGTCAATCAAATCTAAAAGTGTTAAATATAGTGTGAAAAGAACCACAAATTCGGCAATTGATTTTCAAATAGCTGCTTTCATGAATTATTTAGGTACGATAACATCCACTCTTATCTTAGACGAATTTGACTCAGCTTTTTCTTTACTGCAGTGGAATTTTACAACACCAGACGTGTTACTAGCAGCATACTGCAATATGTCGCTTATCTCATTACATAAGCTCGCGTGACATCAAGCGACTACAGTAGTATATCGGAGGCAAGGCAGATCCCATTACAATATTAGAATACAGTGCTTGGGTGTTGACCTCCAGCACAAAGTTTGCACTACAAGTACAGCTCAATCTATCGTACGACTCGCACCATCCACTCGATCTGAGGACGCGCGACCGGTTCATAGCCCTTGTTTCTATGCCGGGTCTTCTGCAGCGAGCACTTAGGCTTAACAACGTGGTTTGCGGTCTGTTGTGATCACACTTGTTATATTATAATTTATAATATTAACGAAGAGTACGGAGTGATCATACAAGTTATTTCATTTATAATTTAGATTTTAGAATATTAACTGAGACTAGGGAATCATCATTCAGATTATTTGAAGTATAATTTACAATATTAACCGAGACTAGTAGAGATCGATGGCTGATAGGAATTAGCTGTTTTTGCATTATGAGAGTGTGAATCAAAATTAGGCAAGAAACCAAAATTTTGATGAGAATGTGTGTTAATCCCATTGGTACTGACGGAAATTTGGTCCCTGGGGAGCCTTTTATGCCAGTTTGCAGAAATTAGGAAGTAAATAAGGTAACAAATTACTAAGTTTAACTAAGTTTCCTGATATAGACGAAACATTTCGATTTAATTCCAATTTTTGAAAAGATCATACCTAGATTTTCCAAACTGCTACTAGAAAGCTTTGTTGTAATTTAGTCTGGCACTTTGTAAGCCGAGCAATTTACTAATGTTACGATTCAATCAGATTCAAGAAATAAGTTCTACAAATAGATAAAACTAATATTGGGAGGCCCTACTAATCAAATACCTACCTGTTAGGAGTTACGAGTTTATGACTTGGTCAGCTTATCAATCATATCAGCTCCGTAGTATAAGTATTTTCAAACTAAATACAGCAATCGCACACGAGAAATCAGCCGTTACGTTACTTAGGCCGTTATGTGTAGCTAAGCGAGTGTGGTCGTTTTCCAGTTACGGCCACTGACCGCGTATGAGATGTATTCGTTGTTTTGACAATTTTAAACTGAAATGATAAAAGTTAAAATCAGGATGTTTCTATGCGTCCGCAGTTTAGGCGCAAAAAAATCTGAAAACGAAATTCTTAATTTCCTGAGAAATTAAGAATTTTCTTGAATTTTAATTTTTTCTTGAATTTCCTGATATACATGCTGAGTCAATAATCTAGCCAACCTAAATCCTAAGGTAAAAAATAGTAAGAATGGAATGCTCTCAATGTGTAACAGCACATGACGTGGTATGGCCAGGGCGATCAAGCAACAGCAGCAGCAGGCCAGCAGCAGCGTGCCAAATCACCAGGACCACTGAAGCCTCCTAATCTGTCCCTACTCTACAGAAAAAAGGTCTGGGAAACGTTCCCTCCTCCTCGCCCTCCTCGCCATCAGTCCAAGGTATCTGTTGACAGAACCGCTAGACCGCGCACAATTTTATTATTTAGGGACGTGAGTTCTTAATACTCGTTGAAATTTATTTCATTTTTTTAATTAAATCAAAGTTTGATTACGGTTGTAGAAATAAAACAAAAATGGCATACCCATATTATCCCACCAGATTTTATACTATAATTTATAGTAGCAGTATCTGTCGTGGTAAGTTTTACAGGATACTTTCGTCATCATGATAAAATCTACGTGGATGTGTACCATACAAGTCGATGGTTCACGTAATAAATAGAAAAACTAATGCATTAAAAAAACTTAAGATCTTCATCATTCATTTCGTTCGTTTAGCCCTGCACGTTCAACCTATCTCGCCAAAAATACACATAATACAGCATACAAGCGATTAGATTTTCCTTAACCTTAAGAATTATATTTTATACTAGCGTTGGACTTGGAAGACAAAAAAGAAAACCACGGACTAGTAAATCCTACGTTACGCCTTACGGTCATAAATTCCGGGGATTCATTCACATTTCCAGGGTGAGTATCGATTAATTTTCACCAGATATCTAAACGTGTTTATGTGCACGTCCATATCTTAAAAAACTGACTATGCCAAAAAGTGAGAATTAACACATTATTTATCGTGCAATTATACGTGTCAATATTAAAGCTGGCCTTCCCAAGAATGAGTCAGTCCCGCCGCCAGCGTTTCGGAAATGTTCGATTGATAAACTCTAAGCCTGAGTAGCTAGGGAATGAAAACTGGATTCTGGACTATAGGTAGAAATCACGGCGCAGGGTATAGCTACATCTTTCGAAAACTTTAGAACATTTAATGATTTATGCTAGTAACTCTCGCAATCATACGATGAAAATTCGTTTACCTAGCAAAAATCACAGGATCGATAAGACCGAAGTTTGCACCAGTTAAAAATTCTTACACCTCTCAACAGTCACAACTAGATAACACTCTAACAGCAAATCAATTGGGGATATCATAGATGAATAGCTAAAAGCACAAAGTTTCTCTCACAACGGAAGCACAACGAAACTATAAATTTTTCACATTTTCAAATGGGCGCCCCGACACATACACCCAACTACCTTTCCCAACGGCTGTTGGCTGCTGACTGAACAGTCTGAACTTCTTGGTCTTTCATTACTCCTCCATTGACTTCACAGGGGTCAGTTCTGCGCAGGCTCAGCTGATCGGTGAGCAGAAAACGCCCAAGTTTCTCAAAATCCCTCTAATTTATACCATATGTATTAGGCCGGGAAGATACAAAAACGTAATTTAAAATTTATTTCTTATCATATAGCTACTCCGCTTTCTTCACTTATCGTCAACTATTGGGTAATTCTCACCGAATCGACATTTTTAGTACAATTAACTAACTCATTAGTTGCAGGCCCAGCAGTGAATGAACAATACAAATTGCATTCGCTAATCTGACACAAATTGCCAACGAATATAATTAAAATCGGGCGAAAGCATGAATTTAAAAAAATATATAAATTAAACAACAAAGGCCCATATCGATCATTTCAAATTTAATATCCCGCAACACATGCAAACCGAAAGTATGTGTGAGCGTCGTTTCAAACAGGACAGTTTAATATATATCAAGAAATAAGACGACCAACGCAAGTTAATTATTGTCCAACTACATCTGAATATTGCACGTCAATTCTTCTTCAATTTTAGTCTGTAAAAATCCATAATGGATCCGATCGATTGTTACCCCAATGCACCAGGGAACACTCAAAACCCCGAAGTTCGTAAATTTAATGCGAGTTAAATTTATTATTTCAAAATTTAAGAGCAGATTGAACTCGCCGATTTTTGGAATACTTTCAGGGAAAGCTATATAACGCCTGTGTTCCAAGGGCGTGGAATTGAACAGGGAAGCGCAGCCTTGACCCACCTATTTGATCACATACCAGCCCTGAATACAACACGCAGTCTTGTCACATTTAATTGTCATCAAGAGAACAAGAAGATCATATTTCTATACGCAGTAGGCTACCCAGAAGTACTTACACAATACTGAACTTCAAAACTTGGCTCATATGACATCAAGTATTTGACAATTTTATTTAAACAAATACAAGTTTCGTATGAAATACGTTCGGTACTTTCAGAATATTGATTTAATATGATTAAACTCTATAAATTTAATTTAAATTCATGTCATGTGGTCTAGCCACGCAGGAGCCGCAACAAGGAACAACTCTCCGAGTTTTTCAGGATATAGAACCAAGCTCCACGTTACGTTCATTTTATTAAATAAATTCGAGTGCAGACAATGGTTAGGGAGATCAATTAATAGGCGGAATGGACAAAACAAAACATAGGGTGTTAATAGTAACGGAAGTAAGGGGCACTGGGACAGCCGTACGTTTTCTAAACTGAAGTCGACACAGCGAGTGGTTAGTTCCGTTGAAGGCGATGAGAAAGTCGACTTCTTCACGTGGCGGACGTTGTCTGATGAGAGAGTATGAAGAGTTGAATTGACGACATATTTACCACTTTTAGTGCAAAGCAACAGTATATTAAACGTTGTCTGATGAGAGAGTATGAAGAGTTGAATTGACGACATATTTACCACTTTTAGTGCAAAGCAACAGTATATTAAAAACTATCTGATGGAAACAAAACTGTCAAGTACCATATGTCACAGAGTAGAGGAACCTCTAGATAAAAATTAGTACATCCGATTCAATTGACTTTAATGGCAAATCAATATTTAAATTACGCAACATAACAAGAAGATGATAATACCGGAATTGTTCATTCATGTGAATTTTATAGTCGATAATTTCCTCGGGTGTCACTCAGCACTTCAAACCATAATACAACGCGATTGAATTGGGCGGACACAACAGGACTGAAAATTCGATCGAGTTTCGCTTACCGTGCGGGCGACCTCGACTGTATCAAGGATTATTTGAGCTGCGACAGGCCAGCTCTCATGATCTCGTCCACGATGAGCAGGTTGCGAGCGATAACAGTGCTGGAAATAATAGAAAACGTTACTAGTGTCACTACACTAATAAAATTACCCAAAATTTTAAATCACATCAAGTTAACAGCTCACATTTTAACAGAACAGCGAGAAGTCAATACTCCAGATATACAAGTCTTTATTTCTCAACGGCAAAGAAATTATATTGATTAAACCCCAGAAAAAATACTTTGATTTTAGTCGGCGACATTTAATGCAAATGATTATTTAAAATTACGTTCACAAAAAGCTCGATAAAGCATCAAATGCTCATAGCTAGAATAAGACTAACAAATTTTTGCATGAACACATAAAAATATATGAAGGTAGATAAAATATCGCTTGAAAACAGAATAGTTTGAGATAAGTTTAACATTTCTTTGTAGGTTGTAAAGAACACAAAGAACCTGGTAACTGACCAAGCATCAAGCATGTGCCTCTTGACGCAGTAGTTGTCATAGACGCCAGTGGCCACTGGGTCCATGGAAGATCCAGTATCTAAGTCAAGCCCAACGTAGGTGCCTTCAGGAGCAACTTTCTGGCCTTCGGAAAGCTTTACCAGACAGTCCAGAGCATCGTGTCCGCTGTTCTGTGCTGCAGAAAGAGAAAAGAAATCAAAATTATTTCAATTATTCATCTGTGTGACAAAAAAAATTTATTTGAAAAAAAATGAATACATAACAAATTGTTTTCATACAAGAATTAAGAATTAACCGTTTCTAGCATAAGAATGATACCCTATTTAGTAAATCAAGTCACCGTCAATTCACCCGTCAGGCAAACTTAGTTACTCGATTACGCTGATGGGAATTCTTACAAGTTTGATCTTTGAAACAGACTCATGAAAATAAAAGAAGCTAAGCCCTGGTGATTATAGCAAGAAAAGAACTTTAGACCGTATACAGAGAAAAGAGTAGTAGTAGTAGTAGGTTTCTAGCGCTTCAGAAAATCTTGATCTATTTCGCGCCGAAGGTCAGACACAACGTCGTCGTTCTCGTGCGCTTCAGGCTTGTAGGTTAGTCCACTCGGGCAGAGAAAAGAACTTTAGACCGGCTTTAGGGGAAATATCTTAAAGAAAAATTTTATTATTAGGGAAGATATTTCAAAGAACAAACGGCAGTAAACCGTACCCAGGGTTTGAGGGAAGATATTTCAAAGAAAAAACGGCAGTAAACCGTACCCAGGGTTTTAGGGAAGATATTTCAAATAAAAAACGGCAGTAAACTGTACCAGGGTTTTAGGGAAGACATTTCAAATAAAAAAACGGCAATAAACCGTACCCAGGGTTTTAGGGATGACGAGAAGAGCATCAGCAAACGCCCTGACGCCGTAGCGAGCACGCCCGTTGACTTGAGACTCGGCGGCCACCAGCGCGTTGTAGCAAGCAAACTGCAAGTTATAGTTAAGAATGATCAAGCAATTAACTGCAAGAAACCGGTGGTAAAGAAACACATCCTACCAGTGGAGTTTAGACTTTTACGACTGAGCGCGACTTTCAATGAATTATAACTGATACAAAATTGCCTATTCTCAATGTTTCATCTGATATGCATTGCTGACTGATTTACGTTTTTCAGTTAAGTCAAGGCAGAACAAGGTTTTGCTCCCAAAGTTTGCATTAGGGCGTTCAAGGAAATTTCAACTATAGCTCCAGAAAAAAACATGAGTAAGCTCACTAATCTCATTTTTGATCTCTAAACCATGCAGCTTCCATAATTTAAATTATAATGAATCCAAAACAATAGAAAGCATCAAAATATTGGGAAAAAATTTGATGATCGACATTTCGAGAAATTTACAGTACCTCAAAAGCCCCTGCACCAGGCACCAGAGCTCTGTCCTCGAGGGCGTTCTTGATCGCTCTAAGCCCATCCCTGAGGGCGTCTTTGTTCTGCTGCAGCGTGTGCTTGTACGGCCCCTTGAGCAGCACTGTCACACTCTTGGGGTTCTTCACTTCCTCTACAAACGTGTACTTATCTTCACCCTGTCGTCAAGAACAGCAAGTTACAGTACAGTGAGTACACAATTGGTGATAATTTTCCACTATAACAACAGATGTGAGTAATACGGTACTGAATATATAACACCCAAATATTAACGGTCAGATATCACAATTAAAAGCCTACCAGGATAATATATTCCAATTGCAACTAACAGATATCACAATTCAAAAACCTACAAGGTAACAAGGTAATCCACCGATTACAACTAATGGATATCACAATTCGGAAACTTACAAGGATAATACACACTAACTAAAATTAAAGATTACCACGACATAGAAACTTACAAGGACGTGTTCGTAGATATGGCCAGCATAACCAAGCGAGGCTTCATCAAGATCTTCAAAGCTGTTGACAGCAACACCTCCGCACGCCAGCACCAAACGCTCCATGTTACGCCGCTTCGCTCGTCGCAAACCCAGGATGCCTGCACATCAAAATACTTAAAGAACATCGCTGTTTTAGCTCATCACGGCGCACTACTTACGGAATTTTTTTTCTTATCAAAATGTTAAAAAAATTGACAGGATCGTCTGCTTATTCAGTTAGTAATATCATCATAATTGAAGAAGAATAATGAAAAAGTACAATATCATCATGAAGATTGAATGGAATTTAACAAATAAAATTTAGCTTCACGTTAAGCAGTAATATTTTTATAGAAGACATAATCAAAGTAAGATAAGAAAAAATTAGATATTTAAAAACCATTTAGTTACGAATTTGAATGTAATAGAATGAATTTTGCGTGATGCAAATTCGTGTGCCGTATTGTGCTGAACCACGAGAATTATGATTGATGGACATTGTTTTTACCGTCGAATTTAGGTCGGCAATGACGATGTCTTAAATACATTAAACCCTTCATTTTGTTACCTTCTTTTGCGAGCATATCCAAAGAAATTGGATCGATGCCTTTCTGGTTAATGACCACGAAAGACTGGTCAGGGGACTTGCAGACTTTCTTCTTTAGTTCCACCACGGCTTTGACTCTGGCAGGATACATACATTTCATCATAAAACATTTTCATTTGAATTCGAAACCCAGGCTATATTCCATTGATTATGATACAAATTTTTGAGTCCATAAGGTATGGTTACTCAGATTAGCACTTTTACATACTCAAGATACGAATGCATCAAGCTTTAGAGCAGCAAATATTGTTAAAGGATTTTACTTCATGTGAAAACAATAAAGACTGGCTGTTTATATCAAATCATTGCACCCACGATATTTCAATCAATACCACTAAAGAAATCTCACCTCTTTTCAATGAACTCGCGCTCAGCTGACACAAGCTTGTCACGCTCCTCGGCGCTCTTGTAGAAGAAGCCCGAGTTGACCTCAGTTTTCTCGTACTCCATAGAGACGTTGCAGGTGAGAACAAAGGCGTTGTGTACGCTCTTTGGCATGTCAGGATGTCTGCCGCCATGATCCAATACCAAGCCTCGCACAAGTGTGCTGTCCAGGTCAGTTTTATGCTGCAACAACACCAAATTTCAATGCATTTTCTTACGTAGTTACCAGATGAATTGATTAGTCAAAAGAAGCGTTAGCTTTGCATTTTAACATGTATTATTTATCTAAAATCAAGGTTAGATGAAATAGAGTAAATGAACACCTACTATCACGCAGTACTTTGCTGGTTTAATTATTTTGAAATGCACTTCTGGCCCATTTTTAATTTCGTCATGCTATGTGATGAGTAGAATTAAGGCATTAAAAACTTGAAGAAAATGGTAATATTAAAGAAAAAAAATTTACTTCATATAAAAACTGTACATATTGAGACGAGTGTAACAATTCATTCTAATTTTAAACAGACTTTTGTTTCAAAACACGCAATATAAAGTATGACTTATAAACCTAGACATTGTTAAAAGCAAAATAACTCTTTGGCCGTAAACACAACATCATACCTTCATTTCCATGATCTCAACCATATGCAGGTCCAGCTCAGCATCAGGTTTCCTGATGGCCTCGACAGCATCACAGCAGACAGTGGTGAGCTGCTTGGCCATCACGGCGGCCACTTTGCTGGCCAGTGCTGTGTGCGCCACAGCTTCCAGCTGCTCACGAGTCAAATCCGGGCACGGGATGCTCATCTTCTTCAGCACATCCATTGCCTTCAGCTGAAAAATAAAAATTTGGTGAGCAGGAATTGAGCTTCATGTTAAGCAGAATATATTACAAATTAGCATGTTGGCCCGGCATTGCCCAGGCTTGATAATTTTTGCAATTTCATAACCTTGTTATTCCCATCATCCCTAATTGAGTTACTATTAATAAGGCTTCTGTATTATCACTTACATATGCACTTGAATTTTAAAGAAGATTATTAATTTGGCTTATTTGCTGAAAAAATGATAATTATAGGCCCAAGATATGCACTTTTGCTTCAGGGTTAGTATAAAATAATCAGATAATTCACTTTTACCTCTTATGATAAAAAATTCATTCCCAACAGTAATTAGCCATGCAAGTATTTTAGAGCTGAAAGAACCATTACTCCATAAGCAATTATGCAGTTAACTCAGTCACTCAAATAATCAGTCCATTTACTTTAGAGTAAAGAATACTCAAAGGTATAACTGTAGGAAATAACAGTCAGAAAAGCCTGTGTATACTTTTAATATGCAAACAAACCTTAGCAATATCAAAGCCCTCAGCAATGATTCTAGGATGGAGACCATCTTGTATCCTGGAGTCAGCTTGCTTGAGGAGTTCACCTATGATGAGCACTGTGGAGGTGGTGCCATCACCAATGATGTCGTCTTGTGCTGTGCAAGCTTTGGCTATCAGGGATGCTGTTGGATGCTGGATTTGCTGTAAGTAGAGATGGTAGTTAACAAAATAAGTTGAAGTAATTAAAGAACAGGAGATCATTTTGGAAAGTTTCACTGTGCTCACAGAGCTCATAAATATCACCCACAATCCTCAAAAACATGCATGTTTTTTGTAATATTTCAGAGTACAGATTAAAGAATTAGATCATCCAATGTTAATTATAGAATGTATCACTGATACAATTCATGAATTTGTGAGGTTGTCTACATCCCAAATGTGCTCCACAATTTGGTAATGTTAATAGCATAGTCAGAAACAGTAAATTGTTATTGATGCACTTGTCCAAATAGTACTAGAATTAGTGTCATTTCTCATATTGAATAGCTACTCAAAAATCCAGAAAATTATTTACAATTTTGTGCAGTTTTTTCTGTTGGAACAAAATCAGAGAGCAGAATCAAGAGTAATAGCAAACTCAAAGCTTGTTGTCTGCATTAAATTTAATGCTAAATACCTATCCTCAAGTGGCAAACTAAACATCCATATAATTGATGCAGATAATCATCCAAGAAGAGTAATGAGGAAATAGTATGATTAAGCACTGGTTTTATATCCCAATAGATCCAATCTTCTAATTTTTGTACACAACTCTGCCCAAAAAACGTGGCAGGCAAGGCCATAAAAATACTTGCATATCCTTGACAGTTCCTAAACAATTATTCCTATTTGCAGTAATGTTAAGGGATCGATCAATAATAATTTTAGCCTTGCAAACATTTTCGACTCAATTCCTACAATAAATCAGCAACAGAGATATAAAAGAACTATAGTTAGAATTACCATTTCATGAAGGAGAATATTTCCATCCTTAGTAATTTTTAGGTCTCCAGATCCTGAAACCAACCTGAAAAATGGAAGAATTCATCATTATTAGAAGATTTTGTTCAGTAACATTTAATTTTAAGTAAACAGAAGAGTAACACATAGAAAGGAGACCATCAAATACAATGATATTTTAGGTATATATATGTGGCTCTTTTATAGCCACTTAACTCTTGTTGTTGGCTCAAAAAGGACTTGGAGTTTTAATTGTTTTCATGCCTGCAAAAATGATGGAATCCACTTGAAGCTTGGAATTTTTTTTCTATACTATGCACAGCCAGGATAACCAAATCCAGTATTTATATCTAAAATGTTGCCAGTGTTAAGCCAATTTGGACAATTGGGAAGAATTTTGTAAAAAATTTGCATGTAAAAACAATCCTTTCAATGGTAATTTTCAAAAATCACTTGGGAGAACTTGTCTATCATTTACACTGAAGAAATTGGGGAGAACCACAGGAATGAGTGGAATAGTCTCGAATCATAGGTGTATTCATCTCATTTCCTAGTGGCTGGGTTATTATTTAAATTATTTTGCTTCATATATTCAAGAGCGAGTCAGCCTGCCAACTCAATCAGTTCCAAAATACCAGCTATGTATAAAAAAAATTGTGCCAGATTAATAGACAAAATATGTGCACTTGTTAATATATTACACCTCCCACATTCCTCCCTGCTGAGGTGGCTTGGCCCAATTTACATTTTGGTTTGTGAGCATTATTTGGATATTTGATTTTCATTATGGCCTGAATTAAGTTTACAATCTTGTAATATTTTCAATTTTTATCAGCAAACAATGCAAATTTACCCATATGTTGAGTTTGGCAATTGAGTCAGCAGAGATGCCAACATAAGCTTCATAGGCCCAATGTGTTGCCAGTATTATTAAGGATTTGTTGCCAGAACTACCTACTTAATCCTTAAAGACTTCTTGCTAAAAATGCATGTAAATTGGTGTAATATATACATATTCATATTAGTTGGCAGAAATATTTTTTGTTTACATGCATACAATCTTTTTTTATGGAGGAACTTTTTGGCTCAAAATTTGCCTGTCATATCCTGTTCACATGTATTGTGTACTTCTGTTAAGCTAAGTTCCATCATTCAATGCTTCTCTTAACTTTAAAATGAATATTCTTACATTTGAAACATCATTAATATATAATACTTACTTGCTAAACCTCCCTTTTGATCTACCAACATCATCTAAAGAATTGATCAGCTCCTTGAAAATTGTAATACATTCCGTGGTCATTAGTTGCATGCTTATATATAAAAATATTCTAAGAGAAATGTGTTGGCAAAATCTGAAGACATGAATTGAGATGCTTATTTGTTGCCCAGGATCTTTAGATATTTGCTCACAGTCACCACCCTGGACCTTTACTTTCTATCATCTGATTTTTCAAATTCACTGGTATTTTTATAAAGAATTCTTATGCTCACCAGCTGCCTGACAGGCTGACTAGGCAACAGCCAGGAGGCATTAGCAAAGATCATTCCTTATTTGCACAATTTCTCTTCTCATCCTAGATCTGGGTGGCCAACAAGCAGCCTCTTTTATTCAGGGTCACATAAGAAATGTGAATGAGAATTAGGGATATACATTTCAGCACAAGTTTTTTAACATCAAATGCATATGAAGTAGACAATTTGATATATGAAAAGCACCTAAGTACCGTAAACTGGGGTAACTTAGACCACTTTTTTTCAAAATGATGCCATTTTTTTACTAGATAAGTTAAACTTAAATTGAAACATGCAAAATACAGGTCTATACTCTAGCTTTACTCTCCGTAAATTGCTGGCTCCTGCCTCTCATAGTTTTGATGTAATTTGAAAAAAAAGTGATGGTCTTTGTTACCCCAGCTCCTGGGGTTTCTATGACCGGGTGGTAAAATCAATTTTATTTTTTGGTAAAATAACTCCAAATAACTCCTACATAAAATATGTTATATAGGTACCTATGGTAATTTTAACTTAATTTCCAAGCTGGTCAATGTTACCCTGTCATGGCTGCCATTAGGTGGTCAAAGTTACCCCATTGGGGGGCGGCACCCCCCATTTGCAAGCTATGACACTTTTCTAAAATTTGTCTTTTGCATATGTAACTAGAAGAGTTCTACTACACTGCATCAAAACCTGGAGTTATTTTACCAAAAAAATGAAAAAATTGGAGGGGGTACTCCAACAGGCTTTAAATAATAGCTCTTTTTCGTGGGTCACATTTCAATTTTTTAACCTATTAGATATGCAAACTTTTTAAATCTTTCTATTGTGTTACATAGCCTCAGTATTACGCCTTTGATGGCCATTGACAAAATTTTTCTATGTCGAATCGTTTTTGAGTTTTGGGGGTTTTTGTTAAAAAAACGAAAAGTGGTCAAAGTAACCCCATTTTACGGTAAATGACAAGTGCTCATCTGGGAGAACTACACAGACCTCACAGGAAACTAGTGACCAGAACATTGCAGCAGCAAAAACCAATCAGCTGCAGTTGAACAAACTCTCATTCATTTGATTCTGTTACAAGTATTCCTTTCAATGGTAAACATACAAGAGCTTTCTTTTCTCTGTCAATAGGGGCTGCTCACATGTTGAGATTTGGATTACGATTGAAGCACAGCTTGAGATTATATATACCACACTTCAAGACATGGCTTTGAATAAAACAAGAAATTATTTTCAAATTATAATTGTAGATAGCAGCAATAAATGTTTTTTTAGGTCAAATTTTGGCCTTGCTTTTACAACACTTCCCTTTAAGATCACTTCTTGTTGTTTGTTTGTCTGCTACAAATCTTATAATCAATATTTAACACACTTCTACCTGTCCAATCGATCTGAAATTTTGCCCACTTGCATAAAGTTGGAGACAGTGCATAAATTGATTGACAGTAAAAATGATTTGAAAAATTTTAAAAAAATATATTGTTAAAAAATTTTCAAACAATTTTTTTAATATCTAAAAATCATTTTACATGTTTAACATCAGAGACACTGGCCTCTACTGAGTCTTGTCTTTAGAAAGTAAATTTTTAAACACATTATTTTCCCACTAAGAAAATTTGTCTGCATGAAAGAACACATTTGTTTCAAGTGCAGACTCACTTGCGGTAGAATGTCTTGGTGGGACAGGTTTATTTGACACGCAAGGTAAGAGGGACATCTGGAAAGTAGTACCCATTTGCGTCGCAGTACCCGTTTGCATTGAAACAAATTGCCGCATGTGCAGTTCAGATGCTTTCAGTGGAGTGTCTGCTGCCTCTGTGTAATGTTGTGTGATGCAAGTGCTGAGTGTGTTGTTGCTCCGTGTGTAATCATGTTTTAGAAATAGAGAATGCCACCAGTTGTGAGGTTAGGGCTGTAATTAAATTTCTCAACACAAGAAATGTTCACGCTTGTGACATTTCATCATCAATTAAATGAGGTGTAAGGAGTCTAAAGGAGATAATGTCATGGATGAATCATCTGTTTGCTGCTGGTGTCAAAACATCAACTTGGGGAGGGAGCTAGAATACCCATGATGATGAGAGCATTCAGGGTGGCCTTCAGTCATTACAGACAAATTGGTAACTCAGTCAACAAAGTCACGAGGAACAATCGGCAAGTTACGGTTGATGAAATTGTGAAAGACCATTTGCATTATGCAAAAATTGGTGCAAGGTGGGTCCCTTTCATGCTTACTGATGAACACAAAGCCAAGCGTATGGCTGCAGCACTGACTTTTTTGGAACGTTATTCTGTTGAAGGAGACTTTTTCTTGACTTGCATAGTCACTGGTATGGAGTAAATGACAGTCTACGGAGTGGCATCATCCACATTCACCAAACAAACCCAAAAAATTCAAGATGATACTGTCTACCCAGAAACACATGGCAACCATTTTCTGGGATCAGCAAGGTGTACTGCTCATTGATTTCATGACCCGTTGACACAATCAATGCCCAGGCATTTTGTGCAACATTAAAAAATTATGGAGGCAATTCAAAATTGATGGCAAGGTTGATTTTCATTCTTTCTCCTGCATGATAATGCCAGGCCACATATGGCTTGGATATCACAACAACTTCTCCAAAAATTCAAGTGGGAAATTTTCAACCATCCACCCTACACTCCGCACTTGGCTTCTTATGATTTTCATCTGTTTACCAAACTCAAGGACTTCATGGCAGGGACAAAGTTTCAAAATGATGAAGAACTGAAAAAACTTGTGACTGCTTATCTCAATACACTGGCAGCTGAGGAATGTGACACTGGTATACAAAAACTCATGACACAATATGACAAATGCTTAAATTTGTCAAGATTACGTAGAGTAGTGTAATGCATGTTCTTTTCAATAAACATGTTTATATTTGTTAATATTTACTTCCTTTAGTTCAATTACCCAAAAGGTACTACTTTCCAGATGTCCCTTGTATGTGAACAAGTCCAATGAAGAAGAGTAACAGGCTAACTGGTGATCTGCTTAGCCTCCTGTGGCAGTTTGACCCAGTGTGACAGGTTGATTTGTAGTTAGGAATTACACATGATACTGATAATATAAAACATGTTGATAATGGTCAAGTGAGTTTTTTACTAGCTTATTGAGTGTGCTTGAGTTTTATAGTTTGCGGGCTCCTAACATGAGCTAATATGCTGTAAAAATTCTGTTAATAAGCTCTGCTAAAGTGCTCTGATAATGGGTGCTAATGTGTTGTTTTAATGTGCTTTATAAGGCCTGCTAATGTGCTTCACCAACATATATGCTGACATGCTACGCTGACGTACTATGATATGCATGATGCATTATGCAATTTTTAACTTATAATTAAAAAGGGTATTTCTTGGAATAATGCTACCTTGAACATTGTGTCTGATAATACTTATGATAGCAGGGACAACAGTGGGAGTACAAAAATGTATTCTGGGTGTTTGATAATGACAATGGGATTATCTAATCAAAGGGATTATATACCTATCATCAGCAACACAGGGCAGATTTGCAGGCTGCAAAAGCAACCAGTGCATGGCAAAACATTTATTCAACTTGCTTGTATACAAAAATACGATCTTAGTAATTTTCTAGACAAAATTTTAGTAAACAGGCAAAGAATTAATCAGCTAACTTAGTATGTTTATTTTAAATAAGATACTTCAAATAGAAACATGGGCTTTATATTTATATTGGGAAACTGTCATGAAAATTACAATTTACAATTATGAAATATTTACAGAGAAGTTTCAAGGTAAAAAACAAAAAAAAAAAAAGCAATAAAAATTGTTGCATCTTTGTCAAATGTTTTATAGAGGAAAAGATAATTTTATCACAGTCATTTCTTAACAAAAGAAAAAAATGTAGTACTCTCCTTATTGTTAGTCTCAATTTACTAAAAAATTTGTTTGAAAAAATGAGAATACATGGAAATATGAATGCATGTATGATGGTAGTAGAGGTGGGGACCTTCTGTTTTGTGTGAGGGCAGGGGCACTTGGTATTAAGGGGACCCATCACCCTTCGTAAAAACTCCTATAGTTATTATCCGATCATCAAGAAACTTCACATACACACGTAAAATGTTTAAAAAATAACATTTTGCTCCTATGAATTTTCGAAAAAATAGATAGAAAACGTGATATTCATAGAAAACGGCAAAAAACGGGTACTATAGAAAATCTATCTCCTCCTACAAATATCGTCCTACAACATCAAGACACATATCATTCGTATCGTAAAGACCATACCTATCAACTCTGCCATCCCTTTTTTTCATTTTCCCCACAGTTTTTTTGCGCATTTTTCCCATTTTTCCCTGCCCTCCCCCCTTCTCCCCCATATATAAGACGAACCATGCACAAGTTCAAAAAAAGAGATGGCAGAGTCGATATGTATGGTCTTTACGAATCGAATGATATGTCTCTCATTGCTGTAGCTTGAAAACTGTAGGAGATAGGTTTACAAAAAGACAAAAAAATGAAAATTCAAATTTTTCAGGGGAGCCAAATAAAGTAAAATTCATTGAAAACAGAAGAATATGCCCAAAAAAGTCTTGATATTGTAGCCCAAGTTTTCCCTTTGCCAATTATTTGCATTCAGGGTACCAGCACGCATCTTTAGACCTATTTGTGTCTAATTTAACGTGAATAATAAGCAATAAATGGGACTTTTCATATATATAAATAAATATATAAAATATTCATTTTACATAACTTTACAACTGCATTACGCAAAAACGATTGCATGTACATCCATGGTAGAAGCTTTGTTGAACCAGTCTTGTTTGTAGCTTTCAAATGTGTGCAAACACTTTGCAATTAACCTAAATAATGACATAAAACATCTTACGCAAAAACTATAGCACGCACAGACATGAGGTAAACTGCATTAGACGCGCCTTTTCAGCAGCTACAAAATGAGTCAAGAAAACAGAAAAGCCAAAATTTCCGATTTTTAGGGTGATGGGTCCCCTTAATGGACATACATACTGGTGGAATGAGAGGAGGGAAGATAAATGTTTTATGTGTGATGGGGATGAGAAGGAAACTGTGGAGCACTTGCTGAAGCCTGATGGAATGTGGGGGCATAGAGCATCAGTCTATGATGGAGATAATTCTGAATGAGGGAGGTGAGATTAACAAAATGGGGCATGAGAGAACAAGCAAAGAGTGGATGGCAATGATTGTGGGTCTGTCTGAAGAAGACACTTCGGCCATGTTTGAGAGTGTGAAGAGATATTTGGAAAATGTGTGGAGGTTGAGAGAGAGGAGGATGATAAGAGTGGGGTCTTCAGGAGTGGAGGGTTGAGAGGGGAGGGTGGGAAGGCAAAAGTGACTGTGCCAAATGTTTTAGTACATTTTTTCTGTTTATTAGGATGTTGACATGCATAACCAAATATTTTGGTCTTTCAGGATTTTGTGAATACATATTAATTGAACTTTTTGTTAATTTTCAAGTGTGATGTAAATTTTTACCTAATTTTTTGACACTAGGTTGTGACTGGAGGTCACCACACATGCACACACCCAATTCCAATTCCTGTCACTCAACCGGGTCCATGGTCAGGAAGATGTGCCAGGTGCGCGGAAATTTATTTTGTCATTTTAACGACCTGCGCAGTGCGCCGTACTACGTTGGTAAAAAAATGTGCCATGCGCTGTACTTTAGAAAGCTAAAATAGTTCTATTTTAGTCGACAATATACGCGAGTATATTGACTACGCGAGTCGAACTGACAATAATAAAATGTAAGACATGTCCGGGTTACTTCTGACTCTTCCGGTTGTCCACCTTGTCGGATATGGAACGTACGGTAATCGTAAACTGCGGCTGTTATACATACGAAATGTAAACAGACGGTGTTCAGTGTTGCCATATGACTTTGGAGAAAATTTCTTCTAAAATAAAGATGGCCGGGATTGCACGAACACGTGCGCGAAGATAATCAATTTTCATTACATTGCGCCAACTCTGCACAGCAATAGCTTAAAAAAAGTGAAAATGCGCGGGAAAATTCACCGAAAACATACATCATCCTGAGTGTGG